AAAGGGGGGTAGGGGATTGGGGGGGGGGGGGGAGACATGATCGTCTTACTGCGTTGGTGTCCACCGTAACCGGGTTGCCTATTGGTCCATGCATTCACTGGGTTTTGTGAACCAGGCGTGAGCGTTCATGCATATTTTACACTACATGTACACACTGGACTAGAGAAGTGCCACCCCTAATGAACCAAAACTTTGGGGGAGATAAATGACTATGGAATGATATGCTCCTGGTATCATTTTATTAACATCAAATTTCACAAAAGAAACTGTCCTGATTATTCTGAATAAACAATTCTACTGTATCGATATTCTGACATTGCTTATATTCCACCTCTTCAGGTTAATAACTTTGATTACTCTGATTCAGGGGGTGACACATAATTCTATTGTCCAGTGTGTGTACTTTATTCACCAATGTCAAAATAAGTGAATGAATTAAAATTGTTAAGCAGAAAGCGACAATAAACAATGTTGTTCATGCCTGGTCTCGCTGATCATTACCCCGCTGCGAAAGTTGTGAGATCTAGACTGGTTTTTGGTTTTTTAAGTGTGTACGTTGGGGGGGGGNTGCTGTTACCTGCTGGGGTCACCAAGGTGATTTCACTGAGTGGGAAGAACCTACCTGTGCCACAGGTAAAGATTCACTTAAATGTGGTTATAAAACACGTTGATAGCAGTTTGTACTTGTAGATATACACTCTTCCTACTTATGTTTAAATTCATATTCGCGATATACATACTGTACCTGAGGATTATGGGAAGGTAAACTGTAGTTTTTCATTCTTACCATAAAGCAAGAGTTCAGTTCCAAGTCAGTGTCTATGACAAGGCTGACATAAATGGAGACCTTCGAACTCAAAGCAAAATTTGATTAGGAATATATGAATGAAGCCCCACATTTTGCTGTACTCTGCAATCATTTTGGTTATTCTAAACCTGACCTCAATGATATTCCAGGCTGGCCAAGGTGATTATCAGTGTAAGATAGGCACTAACACAGTCCCAGCTATCAGACAGAATGATAGTGCCATAGACTGCCAGAGCCACGCTGTGAGTAGATATGATGCAAGGCATATACACGTACTGTTTATATGATATAATCTTTTAAATGTCACGCTATTTTACAGTAGCTGATAGAATAACAGATCGAATATTTGTGCCCTCAAAATACTGATTTTGTAAGGCAAGTGACCGTATCCAAACCCCAACTCATGCATTCTATGTAGAAGTTTTGCAACTTCAGGAAAGATCTATATTGATACAATTATAATTGGCTGCTTATTCTTCTCATGTCTCAGTATGTGTATACAGCCATCACAGGCCAGGAGAAGCAAGAAATCCAAGTAATCTGGAATAATAACCATGTGATAGACCAACCCATCGGCTCTCAAGTGAGCGGTAAGTGTATTGCTATTTTTACATGTGCTGTATATGTATACGTTCCCGTCTTTTTCCCTGTGAGGCGCATATTTTTACGCACGAGTTACAAAAGGAATGATCTCATTTTTATAATGGGATAAAATGCCTTCTTCATAAGCGCACAAAATATAGTAATTGTTTCATTCAACCGATCGTCTAATAAAAATTATTATTATTATTCCATTTTGGTAAAAAACAGAATAACGCCCAAATCTCCTCAATAATAAGAGATCTCCTAAAATGGAAACATACTGCATGCATATGAACTACTATTTGTAACACTTACACACATTATGGATACGCATACATGTATTCATGTTGAAGATGTATTGATTATTTGATAATATATTCAATATTTTTCAGCAATCCTGTACAAGTGTGACATCTTGGGGACCACATGTGGCACATGTATTGGTGGTGTGGATACAAAATTTGGCTGTGCTTTCTGTGGAGGGACGTGCAAGTATCGACCAACGTGCAGTGCACCAGCTAAGAGCACTTGTCCTGATCGGCTGTTTCACAATCAGGGTGAACAATTGAATGTGGTGAATGTTACAAGTGTTTGATAAATTAACAATTTATAATTGGAGATTGCTGATAGACTAATATCAAATATACTGTTCACAAGAGCAAAATAAAAAATGAATTATAATAATAGGATTACAACTTACAAAAATATAGCCAATTATGTGTTCAACACAGAAACACAGAAGTTAAAAAAAAATGAAGAATCATCCTAGGCTGACCCAGCAAGAAAGACTAAAGTAAAGAAAAGAAATTAGTGCATACTGACAGAGAGTTAAGGAGAAGCAGAAACCCAACAATCCTGAAAACAGTAGAACTGGGTTTTGTGAACCAGGCGTGAGCGTTCATGCATATTTTACTCTACATGTACACACTGGACTATAGACGTGCCACCCCTAATGAACCAAAACTTTGGGGGAGATTAATGACTATGGAATGATATGCTCCTGGTATCATTTTATTAACATCAAATTTCACAAAAGAAACTGTTTTGAACAATCTGACTAAACAATTCTACTGTATCAATATTCTGACATTGATTATATTCCGCCTCTTCAGGTTAAAAACTTTGATTACTCTGATTCAGGGGGTGACACTTCTATTGTCCAGTGTGTGTACTTTATTCACCAATGTCAAAATAAGTGGATGGATTTAAATTGTTAAGCAGAAAGCGACAATAAACAATATTGTTCATGCCTGGTCTCGCTGATCATTACCCCGCTGCGAAAGTTATGAGATCTAGACTGATTTTTGGTTTTTAAGTGTGTAAGTTGAGGGGGGGGGGGGGGGGGCATAAGCATTTTTTCTGTTAAACAATGGGCCATTCCGTGGAATTGTTTTGCTGTTATGGAAGGACATTTGACACTTCAAATGAAAATATTTTCAAAAGTAAAAAAGTTACAAGGTCCATTTTTTGTATGTTTATTCTTCTAAATGTAAGTTAAAATTTGGCAAAAAATTAGGTTTAAAAAATTTATAGTTGCGAAAAAATTATAATAAATAGTTAGCGTCTCGGAAGGACGTGTAATGGACATGGAATTTTAACTTTCAACTTCAACACTAAAATTCTGCTCTGTCTGTGTAGATATTTTAAAAGTAAAATCAAAATAAGAATATTTGATTATTATACTTTCTCAGTGTATAAAAAATTTTTTGGAAAAAAAATAAAAAATTTGAAAATTTTGCATATTAAAAGGACGTTTTGTCCATTTCTTAATAAAATGCAAAATAAGTCTTATAATAAAATATTATGAATACATACCAGCATAAGTTTGACGAATAATATCAAAGGTAAACATGTACTTCTATGGTGATATATTTCATCTTCAAACATGTTACTAATTTTGACTATAATGTAAGTTCTCATCTGCTCTGATCATGTTAAATAATATTGGGACATTTTTAGAGAAAATCTTACCAAATCTATTAATTATAAATATAATCCATTGTCTTAATTATAATAACTTCAAAATTATTCATTCAAATGAAATGTTTCTCAGTTTAAAAATGCTTCTATATATAATAATTGTGAATTTTCAGTACAAGATTATCTTGAAAGACATAAGGGTTTAGGGCTCATTGGTCACGTGACCTGTTATGGTCCAATCAAAATGCCTCATACATGCTTCCACTGTGCTAGGTGTCATGTTTAAAGCTTATATATTTGGATTTAATTTCTTATTGAAGTGGTTCTAAGCAAAAATGTTTTCATATTTTGTTGGCCCCTATCATGGTTGAGGAGAATATGAAGTTTTTGGCTTTTGTAGTTACTGAGAAAACTTAAAAAAATAGGTACCAAAATCGTCACGGAAGGACAAATTGATATTAATTAATCCATTATTTTATAATCAAATATTTTTTAATCTAATGCACTTGACTAAATGTAAGAAATAAGTTATATTTAATGTATTAAGCCTTTATTGTTTAAAATGATCTCTATTATGAAAAATATGTAAAAAATACAAATGTCCTTCCGTGACACTATTTTATAAGTTTTCCAGATAAAAGTGTCAATAAAATAATAATTTTAATTAAAATCATCAAAACCTAAAATTTCTTTTGGATTCTGGTGTCTTATGGTGTTTGGTTTCAGAAATTATAAGTTTGATAAGTAGGATTCTTTTTTTCAAATTTTGAGGTCTGCGGACCAAATACCAATGTAGTCTAATGGCCCCTATGCAAAATGAACATTGTCATATCAGTGTATGTACCAGTGTATGAGATAATACTACCACGTTACGAGAATGTAAAAGTGATAATGCCTATTTTCAAATGAAATTAAAAATCACAACAGTAAGGACAATGTTTCTCATAGTGATAGACCTGATTTCATCGGAACGGGGCGGAAGTAAGCCTAAGGTCAATAAACCATTGTGGTTGCATCTTTTAAAGATGTCAGCATTAAAAACCAAGAGAAATAGTTCAATGAAAAAGTTGGTAAAATAGACATATCTAGCCAAAATCTTATCAATGATACCAAAATATCACAGTCGTATCAGTGTTTATGGCATGCCGAACACTCGTATCTTATCGTGTCTTAAGGTTAAGTACGCACACAGATCACACTCTCCTTATACACGTATGGCCGCACGTTGTATAGCAGACACTGTAAAAATAGCAACTGCAAGTTACAACGCAGTCAAGTCCAGCAACCAGTAAGTGATCTTTGAGTGATAGCAGACGGAGACATATTGCTTGCAGATCCATATATAAACGTACTGGTAGCCTTCAAGTCCCTCAGGTAAGTTTCAAGATATATATGTTTGTAGAATGTCTTGTGTCATGATCAAACAAACAAAACAAAACAAAAAAAATACTTGTTAGTTATCTTTGAAGTGTTTGGTTACTTAAAAATGCCACTCCATTTCCCCCATATCATGAACAGTCCTCATAGCTTGCGTCCGGCTTCTGCTGCTTTTGAGGACAGCAAAAAGTCCTCGAAACCCGTAAGTAGAGGGTTTAACAAAGACGTTATACCCAACTACATAAAGACTATTGTCCTGTATAAATTACACTATGTGTACATTTTTTTGGAGGAGGCATTACATCACCCTCTGTGTACGTGTGTCATAGTATATGTAAGTCATTTCATATATATCCCTGTACTCTTAAAAAACGTTTCCAGTTCCAGTGCTTATTATAAAGAATGCAGCGAACGGGAGGTAAGTTTGTGGCGTTGCTATTCCTCTCCGCTCTAGTATTCAATATGGCCGGTAGAGCATCCACCTCCACAATTGTCAGTTCTTATCCAAGTGAGCAGACAACGGTAGAGTTTAACAACATGGCGATTTACAACGAAACTGGTACTGTATATGTTGGAGCTGTTAATACTCTGTACCGACTGGATGGTGACTTGCAACTGTTACAGAACGTAACGACCGGACCAGTCATGGATAGTCCATACTGTAGTCCACCTCCTTCTGCCTGCTCACAGGGAACACTCACAGACAACTACAACAAAATCCTAGTAGTAGACCAGTCTGGGGGTAAACTGATATCATGTGGTAGCGTGTACCAAGGTACTTGTGAGTCTCGACCAGTCACTAATATATCACAGGCTACTTCACATCGTGGCTCTAACCCTTTGGAAAATTACGTTGCCGCTAATTCTCCGGATGCTTCCACTGTGGCTTTTATAGCACCGGGACCCAACTCCCAGGACGTGTTATATGTGGCTTCTACGTACACGGGACAGGGGGAGAGTGGGAGACTTCGGGAACAAGTACCAGCTGTAAGTAGCAGATCTCTTCAGACACTGGAACTGGCGCGTTACTATGGATTGTCCAGTTTTGGAACGTACATAGGCTTCTCTGACACTGTTCGAAGTACTTATCCAGTAAATTACGTTTCTGGGTTCTCTTTGCATGGTTATAGTTATTTCATTACGAACCAAAAGACAACACTAACCAGTACAGAATATGAATCCAGATTAGTTCGAATCTGCCAGAGTGATGCAAACCATTACTCATACTTCGAAATGCCCTTGCATTGCGCAGGGACCGATCCTTATAATAACGTGTGGTTCAATCTGGCAAAATCGGTATCGATAACAAACCTCGGACATGATGGAGTGCTAGTTGGTTCATTTTTCAAAGGATCCACTTCAGCTTTGTGTGTATTTTCAATGGAGAGTATAAACAGCATTATTAAAGATAAATACGAACAGTGCTACGCTGGGAATGGAGTTACTGAGGCTGCACAGTTCCCAAGAAGTTCACGAAAATGCTTTCCTGTGTCAGTAAGTAAACAATTTTTAAACATGAATTATTTTTATCATTGCTGTACAATTAATCTTATTAAGTAGATAATATTCACATTTTCTAGGCCTCTGTCGTCTAGTAGCGGATGTTGTCGATAAACAGTCCATCTATTTTAGTCGTTCATCACGCACTTCAAATTGTCTACTTTTACATCCCTAGTCATTTAACTATGGGACCAACTACTGTAACGATGACTATGGCGGTTTTAACACGCCCCTAGTGTCAAGCACCCCGGTAACATCAACACCTGCTCTGACAGCCACGTCGTCCACATGGACAGTAGTAACCACAACAACAACCACCAGCTACACTGTGGCTTTTGTAGGAACTGATGAAGGGCAATTAAAAAAGGTACTGCACAACTGAGTTGTTGGTTTTCTTGTATTTTAATACAATTTTAATATTAAAAAACGCAAATAGTACACAGCCGAATTTTTCGTTTGTTTAATTATGGGAATTAACTTCCAGGGTTTGATAACGTTTGATAAAACCTACCTACTTGTTTTTTTTAATCTGAAAACAAACTTGATTATAAATAAGGGTTTTATATTAAGTTAGACGAAGTACTCGTTTTTGTTAGGGCATCAAAAACCGTGAATTTAATAGGGAATGCTTTTTTAAATATATTCTAGCTAAAGCAGTTTTCTTCGCACATTTTGTTTAAATTTATCTTTTAAAACATGTTTTACATTTGTCTCAACAATCCTTTCGTGAACTTTCGAACCGGTAATAATGTTTTCAGATATTAATCCAGTCTAATACATCTGCGGTAGAATATGCATCAGTACAAGTGTCAAACGATGAGGTTAAAGATATACAGTTAGATAGCACTGGAGAGCACGTGTATGTTATGACCAAATACAATGTGAGTGCTACAGAGTTGCCACTTAAGGGGCTACAAAAAGAAGCATAAACACGAATATGTAGTTTTATGGGGACATTAACCAAAGTACATTTTTAAAATCTTAAAATGGCTCTTTTTTAATAGGAAAAAGTCATACTTGGTCTTTAAGATATGTGTTTTTATTTGATTTAATATGCATGTAATTTGATCTAAGATGGGCGTGGCCCAAATGCTTCATGTATTTGGTATATCCATACATTTTTTGCCCAAGAACTGGATGTAATGAAAGCAGGACTTTCGATTTAGATTATAAAACAAGTCAAATATGTAAGTATATATCTTACTTTCCCCAGGTCAGTAAGTTGAAGGTAGAAGACTGTGGTAGTTACAGTAGTTGTGATGATTGTCTGGCATCCAGAGATCCGTTCTGTGGGTGGTGTAGTCTGGAGAACAAGTAAGAATATTGTGATAATTGTCTGGCATCAAGAGATCCGTTCTGTGGGTGGTGTAGTCTGGAGAACAAGTAAGAATATTGTGTGTTCGCATTTGAACGATTTGCTTTGCATACTTGATGGCTAAAACCCGCTGTTTTGTAGAAGTTCGAGAACCAATTAAACATTCAATGTGTTCATATTAAAATGTATTATTTAATAGCTACTTGCTGCGTTTTAAAATCTTATTTACTATTGTCGCTAAATTGCATTCAGTTTAAATGCTGTTTAAATATGCTTTGCAAGGAGCGTGCCAGACAATTAGGTTGATTACATGCACTCACAGCGCCTTAACCAGAATTCCCGCTGAGATAGAGCGATCTTGCTACTACGATAGGGTAATGAGAACGTAGCTAAGAATAGAATATTGTGTGTTAGCATTTGAATGATTTGCTGTGCATACTTGATGGCTAAACTCACTGTTTTCGTAGAAGTTCGCGAAACAATTTAGAATGCAACGTGTTAATATTCAAGTTTGTAGTCTAGGTGTTAGGCCTACTTGGTGCGTATTTTGTTTTGTTTTATTGAATCTGAATTTATGTTTTAAGTATGTATTGCAAAGACAGAATAGTACATTATTCTCATGAAATAATTATAATCATATTTTTTTCCATGCGGTTAGTGTCTTGCATGAACCGACACAGATAGTTTTGAATGTGTGACTGAGAAATACCTGTAACGCACGCATACCTTCCACAAAAATCCCCTTTCTTATATCCATTTTTGTTATCCAACATGATTCTATAATGCAAGGAACCTTCTGCTTCATGTGTTTCATTTTTTAGATGCAGCAGAGAAAGTCAATGCACGGATGCAGATGGCTCAGGAAGATGGCTTCCGTTTGATAATGGACAGTGTACCAAGATCAATACCATTTCTCCTCCAAACACACCTCTAACCAGACCTACACAGGTACAAAGAATTGCTTTACAATTATTTTATTACCAACTTTTGTTTCATTTGACAATGTAACCAATAATCTTCGTGATATCGTTTGGTGGACTCGCTTGTATAGAGTCCCGAGTAGACAGCTTGTACCAATGGACTTCACTGTTTTACCATACATCTATGCTCATGCGCAGTGAGGTGAATGACGTAGACCCCCTAGCTCGCCTATGTATTCAGAACACTTGATCCACAAACCAACTGGTCCGGGTATCAAACATGGCTAACCCCGGTATAATTCGGTATAATTCTCTAATGGTCTCCACGCCTACTACACGCGTCGGGCCTGCAGGGGCCTATGCTAGCAAATAAATGGATTAAATCTCGGCCCCAAGGTTCAATTGCCGACCACCTGCATGGATATCGCATTTTGGAGGCGGGAAGTCCATTGAGGGATTATGGTGGCACCACCTTTAAGTGGGTTGGCCAAATTTGATCCGCCTATCTGTAAGTCTGCGTATCAACTTGTTGTAAAAGTACCAATTGACTGCAGTTCCCAAGCAAGCAGTGCAATAACCGGTCACGTGACCACCGTGCATCGTAATACACGGAAATGCATCGAGATGTGGATGTATGAAATGCGAGTATGTTCATTAGTTTGATATACGTATTTATAAGTTATGATATAAGTAATCATCTCAGCAAAGCATTACTATTTCTTTCATGTTTGTAGGTGAACCTATCTGTAAGCCTCCTACCCCCCGACCAGCCCTACCAGTGTCTATTTGATACCACAGCTGTCAGTGCCACAGTCACTGGAGGAAACTTGGTGACATGTGCCACACCCACCAGCTTACCTACTATACCAACTGGGGACGGTAAGGGGTGTTATCTTTCTTGTACAGGGTGACCATCTAAAAAAAATCTACCTCACACTTACCCATAAATACATAATCCGACTATTGGCAATGCTCACCGATATATACCTGTAACATTAAGTGTATATCCAAAAACACGCTCACTTCCGTACAGCTTTTACATTTTAATTTTCATTCAACTTTTGAACGTGTATTTTAGAAAATAATATTTAATGTCCCTTGTGCCTTTCTTAGAATAATTGTTATGTTATAAATGTACCGCCCAAAAGTTGTAAAAAAGAGGCATAATAGCAACAATAATCCTAACAGAAATTCAATTATTTTTTCGATACAGGGCTTTGCCTATTGCTGCAACAATGGATCACGTTTGTTCTTTTAGAATCCATTTCTATTAAATCATGTATATTAAACCGCATGCCAAAGGAAGTATGATTATTGTTTCAGATCACATCACAATACCATTATCTATCAAATCATTAACGACAGGAGTCAAGTTTCTAACGACCAACTTCATATATTTTGACTGCGGCGCACACTCAAGGTATTGTATTGTTATACATTATCTCTCTATCCTATTCCAATGACTGAGGAGTCCTTAAGTTCACGAAACAAATTAAAAAAAATGTAATTATATTGCTTAGACGTTACTTGCTGTCTTGTGTAATCGAAGCAATGTGTATTGTGAAAAGGAGTGTCACATTAACTCATTATTACATACGATGAGTATATGTGGCTAATCCTGTAGTTCTTATTGTTAGATATGTGTCATGTACCAGCAGTAGTTGGGCCTGTGACTGGTGTATATATGCTAACACGTGCACCCACGCCAGCAGTACTTGTAGTCCTAGTGGAGGGGTGATACCCGGAAAGAATGTAAGTTCAATTCTTTGTTAATTTCTCCGTGTATACCTTATTTCTTGAAAATTTACATTAAGCCAGATAATACTGGTCACTCATACAGACATATGATGTTTTAAGTAAATGTGTTTCGTTCTGGTTCTCTTAATATAAACATGTCAACGAACATAGAAAAAAATCCGTTTCTGATGCTTGTGAGATACGAAACACCACTGAAATGAGAAATGAATGAAAGTTTTTAGTTATGCACAATTTTTTTACTTCGGCGTTCAAGAACGGAAATATATTTTATTAATTAGAAATGGCACTGTCTTGTTTCCGTCATTCCAGAGTCATGTAAGTGTGGGTATTAAAGGACCCACCCTGTGTCCCCAGCTTCTGCCACTTGTACAGGACGTCCTGTTACCTGCTGAGGTCACCAAGGTGATCTCACTGAGTGGGAAGAACCTACCTGTGCCACAGGTAAATATTCACGTAAATGTGGTTATAAAACCCGTTGTTGTTAGCAGTCTGTACTTGTAGTTATACACTCTTCCTACTGATGTTTTAATTCATATTCGCGACATACATACTGTACCTGAGGATTATGGGAAGGTAAACTGTGATTTTTCATTCTTACCATAAAGCAAGAGTTCAGTTCCAAGTCAGTGTCTATGACAAGGCTGACATAAATGGAGACCTTCGAACTCAAAGCAAAATTTGATTAGGAATATATGAATGAAGCCCCACATTTTGCTGTACTCTGCAATCATTTTGGTTATTCTCAACCTAACCTCAATGATATTCCAGGCTGGCCAAGGTGATTATCAGTGTAAGATAGGCACTAACACAGTCCCAGCTATCAGACAGAATGATAGTGCCATAGACTGCCAGAGCCACGCTGTGAGTAGATATGATGCAAGGCATATACACGTACTGTATATATGATATATAATCTTTTAAATGTCACGCTATTTTACAGTAGCTGATAGAATAACAGATTGAATATTTGTGCCCTCAAAATACTGATTTTGTAAGGCAAGTGACCGTATCCAAACCCCAACTTATGCATTCTATGTAGAAGTTTTGCAACTTCAGGAATGCCTTATATATTTAGATCTATATTGATACAATTATAATTGGCTGCTTGTTCTTCTCATATCTCAGTATGTGTATACAGCCATCACAGGCCAGGAGAGGCATGAAATCCAAGTAATCTGGAATAATAACCATGTGATAGACCAAACCATCGGCTCTCAAGTGAGCGGTAAGTGTATTGCTATTTTTACATGTACTGTATATGTATACGTTCCCGTCTTTTTCCCTGTGAGGCGCATATTTTTACGCACGAGTTACAAAAGGAATGATCTCATTTTTATAATGGGATAAAATGCCTTCTTCATCAGCGCACAAAATATAGTAATTGTTTCATTCAACCGATCGTCTAATAAAAATTATTATTATTATTCCATTTTGGTAAAAAACAGAATAACGCCCAAATCTCCTCCATAATAAGAGATCTCCTAAAATGGAAACATACTGCATGCATATGAACTACTATTTGTAACACTTACACACATTATGGATACGCATTCATGTATTCATGTTGAACATGTATTGATTATTTGGTAATATTTTCAATATTTTTCAGCCACCCTGTACAAATGTGACGTCATGGGGAGCACATGTGGCACATGTATTGGTGGTGTGGATATAAAGTTTGGCTGTGCTTTCTGTGGAGGGACGTGCAAGTATCGACCAACGTGCAGTGCACCAGCTAAGAGCACTTGTCCTGATCGGCTGTTTCACAATCAGGGTGAACAATTAAATGTGGTGAATGTTACAAGTGTCTGATAAATTAACAATTTATAATTGGAGATTGCTGATAGACTAATATCAAAGACACTGTTCACAGGAGCAAAATAAAAAAAGAATTATAATAATAGGATTACAACTTACAAAAATATAGCCAATTATGTGTTAAAAAGTACCCATTTTAGCTGTTACGGTGGGTCATTTGCAATTAAGGTCATAAAGATGATGCACTAGCTCTTTATGTCAGTGATTTATGGTGAATATGATATTGGTATATAATTCCCACAACATCTGTCTCCTATTCTAGCAGGTTCATCCAAAGATATGTTCTGAGAAAAATAAATATTTTAACCATTTTGCAGATACGGGCTTTGATACACATTTTACTTATTTTTGTTAATGCAATGAAAAACATTTGGTGCCAAATGTAGTGTCCGTACCCCCAAGTTATACATTAACCATTTGATAACTGGCTACTTATCAATGATGATAAAACATCAAAATATGGTACAAAATATTGTTTTAGACTATATAAAATGCATTCATGTCTTGTGATGTTTAGAAAAACATTGTATAAAAATATATATTCAATAAAGTGATACTGATTAATTAGAGTCAGGCAAGAGATTTTGCAAAGAAATAAAATCAGTAAAGTTGCTACTCTTTGCATTCAAAATGAACAATATTGGTTTGAATATATTGCCAAATATAACTAATTGTAAAATAATAAACTGTATATATATATGGATTCATATTCTATGGATTAATGTATATGATATATTTTGGTACGAACACGGTACGAACACTTCAATACATGCATAATTAAAAGTACATTTATTATACTCTCAGTGAATGAAGTATCAAATATGGATGACAATAAACAAAAAGCCAAATAGGAAAAGAAAAAGGGATCCTGAAAATTTTACTTTCAGCAAAAAATAATTTGAAAAAAAAAAAAGACGTCAAAGAGCTAATATCCGTAAAGATAATCTTGCTGACGCACGTTAGGAAGACGTTATACGTTGAAACGTTGAATGCACGTAACACAGAAGTTTAAAAAACGAAGAATCATCCTAGGCTGACCCAGCAAGAAAGACTAAAGTAAAGAAAAGAAATTAGTGCATACTGACAGAGAGTTAAGGAGAAGCAGAAACCCAACAATCCTGAAAACAGTAGAACAAGAAGTGCAAATTAACGAGAGATGAAAAAGAAGAAAAGACTCCAAAAACAGGAATCAAGACTGAAAAAAA